GTTTTTGAATGATCTTCAGCAAAATTTTACTTGCATGTGATATTAATGATATTGTTTGATAATTTCCACATTCTTTTGGATCACCTTTCTTTGGGATGGACACAAATAAGGATCTCTTCCAGTTGATTGTCCAGGTACCTGTCTTCCAAATTTCTTGGCATAGATGAGCAAGCATCTCCAGCACTGCATCCCTTTGTTGAAACTTTTTAATTGATATTCTGTTGATTCCTGAAACCTTGTTTCTCCTGATGCCTTCAGTGGAACTTGGATTTCTTCCTTCAGTACCATTGATGTTTGATCATAATGTTACTTCTTGAAATGGTTGAACCTGAGTCAATATTCTTTTTGGTACATTGATTCTGTATATTCTTTCCATCTTCTTTTGATGCTTTCTGTATTATTCAATATTTTTCCCATAGAATTCTTCAGTATTGCAACTTGAGACTTGATTTTTTTTCTTCAGTTATTTCCACTTAAAAGATGCTGAGTGGGTCCTTCCCTTTGGTTTTCTAATCAAGCTCTTTGCATAATTCATAATACTTTACTTTGTCTTCTTGAGTCGCCCTTTGAAGTCTTCTGTTCATTTCTTTTTCTTCATTTCTTCCTTTCATTTTAGCTACTCTCCGTTCAAGAGCAAGTTTCAGAGTCTTCTGACATTCATTTTCATGTTCTTTGTTTCCTATCTTTTTAATGATCTTCTGTTTTTTCGTATATGGTGTCCTTGGTGTTATACCACAACTTGTCTGGTCTTCAGTCATTGTGTTCAAGGCATCAGATTTATTTTTCAAATGGTCTCTAAATTTAAGTGAGATACATTCAATGTCATATTTTGGCTGTATGGACTTGTTTCAATTTTCTTCAGCTTCAACTTAAACTGCATATGAAAAAATGATGGTCTGTTCTGCAGTGGGCCCCTGGCTTTGCTCTGACTGATGATATTGAGCTTCTCTGTCATCTTTTTCCACAGATGTAGTTGATTTGATTATAGTGTATTCCATCTGGCAAGATCCATGCGTATGGTAGTCATGTGTTGTTGAAAAAAGATATTTGCAATAAGTAAGTCATTAATCTTGCAAAATTCTATCATGTAATATCCAGCACTATTTCTGTATACCCAGGCCATATATTCCAACTATCGATGCTTCTTTCTTTCCAGCTTTCCCATTCCAACCACCAATAATTATCAATGCATCTTGATTGCATATTTGATCAATTTCAAGCTGCAGAAGTTGGTAAAAATCTTCCATTTCTTCATCTTTGGCACTAGCGGTTAGTGCATAAATTTGAATAATAGTTATATTAACTGGTCTTCCTTGTAGTATGGATATTATCCTATCACTGGCAGGATGTACCTTGCAATGTTCTTTTTGAAGATGAATGTGAGCCATTCCTCTTCAATTTGTCGTTCTTGGCAAAGTAGACTGTATGTTCATCTGATTCAAAATGGCCAATATCAGTCCATTTTGGTTCACTAATGCCTAGGATAAAGAGCTCTGGTAGAGCTGTGGTTAAAGAATTGAGCTGCTAACCAAAAGGTCGGCGGTTTGAATCTACCATTCTTCATGGGAGAATGATGAGGCAATCTGCTTCTGTAAAGATTTACAGCCTTGGACACCATATAGGGAAGTTCTACTCTGTCCTGTAGGGTTCTGTGAGTCAGAATCGACTTGATGGCAGTGTTTTGTTTTGTTTTGTTTTTAATGCCTAGGATATTAATCTTTATTCATTCCATTTCATTTTTTACAACTTCCAGTTTTCCTAGAGTCATATGTTGTGCATTCCACATTCTGATCATTAATGGATGATTGCAGCTGTTTCTTCTCATTTTGAGTTATGCCACATCAGCAAATGAAGTTTTCAAAAGCTTTGCTGCATCCACATCATTCACTCTACTTTGAGGAGGAATCTTATCCTCAGTCATATTTTGAGTACCTTCCAACCTGCAGGGCTCATCTTTTGGCACTATATCAATATCAGACAGTGTTCCACTGCTATTAATAAGGTTTTCAGGGCAGATTTTTTCCCCCCCTACTAGTACACTACCATGTCCTTCTTCCTAATCTGCTTTAGTCTGGAAGCTCCACTTAAACCTGTTCACCATGAATGACCTTGCTGGTATTTGAAATACTGGTGGGTAATTGCCAAAGGGGCAAGGAAGCCGCATCTTCTGACCTCCCCTAACCCCACAAGAGGAAGAAAGAATCACCATCAGTAGCCTAAGGCCTATTCCTGTGAGACCAGACATGCTGCCTCCCTCCAGCCCTTTCACCAACCATTCCTTCTGCAGCACCTACCACCTCTCTGCTGGGTTCGATAATTTGCTGCAGTGGCTGCACAGAACTCACAGATTGTGGGGTTTATTAGGGAAATAAGGGGCTATGATTCAAATTCAGGAACATTCTCAGTGTCTCTCAGCCCGCTGTCTCTCAGCTGACAGTCTCTCTCAGTCTCTCTCTAGCAGTGCGTGTCTCTCAGTGTCTCTCTCCCAGAAGTGCATGTCTCTCAGTCTTTCTCTCAGCAGTGTATGTCTCTTGCATCTCTCTCTCAGCAATGCATGTCTCTTGTGTCTCCCAGCTGGCAGTGAGAGATTCCTTCTGCCTCTAGGAGGGCTCTTTTTGAGCCTGGCAGAGTAGCCAAACTCACCAATCTCAACATCAGAATTCTATACACCTGAGAGAGCAAATGTCCCAGAAAATTACTTTGTGCTGTGCCCAACAGAAATACCCCAGGTGGATAACTTTAACAATCAGGAGCTACTCAGTTGCTCACAGCAAATTTCACCATGGAGTTTACAAAGACTTATGGCTAGAAAAGCTACACTATGTAATTTCCTATACTGCACTAACCAAAGGGTCAGTGGTTTGAACCCACCAGATAGATGCTCCATGGAAGAAAGATGAGGCAATCTGCTTCTGTAAAGATTTACAGCCTTGGGAACCCAAGAGGGGTCATATGAATTGGAATAGACTCAATGGCAGTGGTTTGTTTTTTCTGGTTTTGATCTTCCAGCATCATAGTATCATACAAGCCACTACAGAACAACAAACTGACAGACAAGTGGTGGATACTTGTCATAAGTACTTTAACCCAGAATGAGAGTGACCATTTTAGAGAGAAATTTTTAGTGATGACTTCACTGAGAAAGCAAGATTTTTTGCTGAAAAATGAAGGATGAAGAATCAAGATAAACAAAGGGCAATAGGGAGTCCATTTCAGTGATCACAGCCTAGGGTGGTCATGCATAGGTACAAAGGCACAGAGGAAGGAAAGATGATGCCATTTGAGCCTGTCTTTAAAACATGTGCTTCATATGTCCCTGGAACACATGTCCCTGGAACAGTGGTTCTCAAAGTTTAGTGTTCATCAGAATGTTCTGGAGGGCTTGTTGAAGCATAGATGTCTGTGACCTATCTTCAAAACTTCTGATTTATTAGCCTGGGGATAAGGCTTGAGAATTCGCACTTTTATCAAGTCCTCAGGTTATGCTGATGCTGCTAGTCTAGGGCCCAAGCTTTGATAACCACTGGTAGATTACATTGATGAAGTCCCAGGGTGGTGCAAATTATCAGTATGCTCAGCTGCTAACTGAAAGGTTAGAGGTTTGAGTCCACCCAGAGACACCTCTGAAGAAAGGCCTACCATTTTACTCCCAGAAAATCAACCATTGAAAAACCTTTGAAGCACAGTTCAGCTCTGACATACATGGTGTCACTATCAGTGGAATTAACAGGATGGCAGCAGACTATGTTGATAACTGGGTGGCTCACTACTCAATAAATACCATCTGATAAAGATAATGCTGCAGAAATGTCTAATCATCTCTCTTAGCAATACGCTTTGTCCTGATTTTTTTCACTCTGAGGTACATGGTCTTATCCTTCTCACCTCTACATTGCTCAATCACACCTTTCCTTCCAATGTCACCCTATCCCCACAATCCTCATGGCTGCAATGAAATTAAGTTTCATCATTTTCTATCTTTTTTTTTTTTAAGACTAATTATCCATGTTGTGTCCTTTAGCCAATCTAAATTTTGAAATTTTAGATGGAAAAATGAATAATATCACCATTTCTTAATCCTTACTTTATCTCCTTAAAAAAAAAAACACTGCTATCGAGTTGGCTCTGACTCATAGCAACCTCTCCTTGTGTTTCTGAGGCAGTTATCACTAAGGAAGTAGATTGCCTGGTCTTCCTTTGGAGGAGTGGCTGGTGGGTTTGAATCACCAGCCTTCTGGTTACTAGTCAAATGCCTTAGGCACTACGCCACCAGAGCTCCCTTATGTCCCTATTTCCTGCCAATTCACTAGCAGATGAAAATGAGGATATTGGGGACCTTATTTCAATTTCCTATTCAACACTTATGATAACTTCTCAAGTAGAAGCTTATTTACCTTGGAACTATTTCCCTTTGATGAAATGATTACCCAAGTAGGTAGCAGTGTGACCGTTAGCAGTGGTTCTTATAATTGCCTGTTGATTTAAGACTTTATATATTAAGTAATTAGATTATGGTTGACCCGTGACAAAAGCTTTGAGTTCCTTTAGTTTTATGAGCAGTTATACTACATAGCAATTTACAAAGTATTCAAAGCCCATTGTACCTTCTTTCTGTAATGAAAAAAGCTAATAGCACATAGTAGGCCCTCATTATGTATTTGGCAAATGAATAAATGAATGCATTCAAAAGAAATGTGTACATGATTTTTCTTTGCTCCATGAAATAGTAGCAGACATAGTTCTGTGAAATCTGGACATGGTTCTTTTGTATCAGTTTTAAATTTGTCTAGCTACCAAATGTTAATTTGCTTTTAACTAGTTGAGATTAAATATAATTCCTTCCCTGAGCAAACCTAATGTAAGCAAGCATGAAAGCATTTTCAGAGTAATCTGGGAGGAATTGACATTTAAAGGAGTTAGCATTACATCTGTATATTAAGACTATTAATTTCATAGATAAATTAACTTGATTACTCTGTCTTTCTCTTGCATTTTGAAAGGAATTCATCAGCTGGAGGACTGACAGCTGAGGGTCAATTGAAATTGCTCTTATCTCAGCCATGTTGTAATTGGAACCTACTTCTGGAAACCCTACTGCATCATGATGGTCTCTTACTGAGAATCTTGCTGAAGAGCTCAAGTGAGTATTGTAGTTGTAAGAATATCCTTGAAATACCCAGTCGTTGCTTAGGTTGAATGCAATTTTTTTCCTACTCGAATGTTGGAGTTAGCAGAAGGAAAAATATTGAATCACATTATTAACCCATTTCAAAGGATTTTTTTTTCAAGGACTCTGAATAAGGAAAAACAGTATTTTTATATGATTCTAGTCTATTACCATTACCATTATATAGAAATGCATCGGTAAAAAGGGTTTGAAATACCTAAGAAAATCATAGGAAAGCTGTTATATTTCCAAAGCAGAAGTCTGAGTTAGACCTTAAAAAAAGATATTGTGTTAGTGCAACACTAGAAATTGCAGTAGATTATGAAAAGTGCTTATGCAATTTATAAACAAGTAAACTTTGATTTACAGCCATATCTATTGTGGCATAGAGAAGTAATCATGGGGAAATTATGAATGGGAATGGAAGAGTAAGAGAAGAGCATATTTCTCTTAATTAGGCTTTCTTTTTTTCCTTGTAAATGCTGTGATAGAAAATGGTAAGTAAATTATGCCTGTCAAATATCGTATCCTACTGCTCTCTTCTGTTTTCACATGTTGTTGTTGTTGTTGTTATGTGCCGTCGAGTCGGCCCCGACTCATAGCGACCCCTCCTTGGGTTTCCGAGGCAGTATCACTACGGAAGTAGG